ATGTCCAAGTACCTTTACAAATCAAAAGCAAGTTCTTAGAAAAATGACATGAACTAGTTTAATGAAGGGAAGACATAATACTAACTCATAAATACTGTATTCTTCTCATATATTTCCATAGGGAATTAACATGTTAGAGAATACAGTATCAGTAGGAAAGATGCAACACTTCTGGAATATAAATATTTACTTAACCTTTATGTTAAAATATTGGTGTCATAAACCTTCTTTGCAATCTAGAATTTTTTTTTATAAATCAAAAAATTAGTTATTTGACATCACAAATATTTGAACCATCTAGAACAATTAATTCCTAAAAAAAAAAAAAGAATATGGGGCTTATTAAGTAATCTATATAAAAATGATTCATCTAAAAATATGACCCACCTTCTCAATAAGATAAATAGCAACTGTTATTTGCCACTTAATTTGTGGTATCTTTATTTGTAAAGTCCTTCGTGTATGATTCTTTCAATAGCATAACTGTTGCTGCCTAATTAATTAATTAATTATTAAAAGTGTAATCTGTTTAAACTGATTTTATTCATTTATATTTTTTTTCTTCTTTAAAATGACTTATTTCAAACTTAATATGTGTATGAATTAACTATTTTGATGATGTCTGTTTTTGAAACTCTAAACAAAACAGCCCTTAGGGGTTCTATATATATAATTTCAACTGAAATAGATAGCACCCAAAAAACAGTCAAAACAAACTATTAAAAGGAATCACAAGACAGTAGCCAAAAGAAAAATAATAATAATAATAATAACAAGCATTCATGGAGTCATTTCAGAGTATCCATGCCAAGTTGCCAACGTTAAAATTTCCCAAATAAATATTTTATATAAATAATAGTTGCTACCGTCTGCATAAGAGAGGGAATGACCTCCAGTATCAGCCCCTACATCTCTAATTAAATAGATCACAACCTTCAAACAAGCGTCCATGAAGTGGTGGAGCTGGTAGTATCCAAAGTGGACGTAGCATATCTCTATGAGCAGGCTCTGGATTGTAATGTTGAGCAAAATTTTCGTTCTCAAGGCTAAAAATACCCAAATTACGATGAGTTTGATACCCTGTTATAAGGCCAATGTCGCTTATCATCGGTCTTCTTCTTCTTTTTTTTTTTTTTTGATAAGGACAATGATTAGTAGGTTAATATTGTTAGATGTTAGCAACTGAGATTCGATCTCAAATCTGATGAACAACTCACCAACCTCGATAAGGTGCACCACGCACGACTATTAGATCGTTTGATGGAATTCACTTATCATCAGTCTTCTTCTTTTTTTTCTTTTTTTTTCTTTTTTTTTTTTATTTTTATAAATTCAATGATTAGTAGGTCAGTATTATTAGATATTAGCAACTGGAGATTCGATTCCAGATCTAATGAACAATCCACCGACCTCAATGAGGCGCATCATGCACGACCATCAGATCGCCTGGTGGAGTTTGCTTATCATCAATCTTGACTGTTAAGGAATAGACCCAACATTAATAACAAATCCAAATAATAAGTTCAGTCTTGATTATTGGCCCAATAAGTTAGGAATAACCCAAAAACAACTCAATAATGTATGCACATTCATCAAGATGTACCCACATGATTGGTGACACTTGGATAAACAAGGTAACAACATGTGAAACACTTTGTCATTAAGGAAGACTATAAATATTTTTATTTACCTCCATATATAACGTTTTCTTTCCTATAATTACTTTTTTTGAGAGTTTTTACATTATAAAATATTATACTTATATATTGGTCTCGACTGAGGTAAGTGAAGCATGTAGCCTGCGAAAAGCTTTGAAATGGGCGAAAGACCTTATGCTCGACAAGGTTGTTGTGGAGACTGATTGCGCAAGCATCGTCACAGCAATCTATTGTGATACCTACTGCTTCAACTCCAGCCTTGGACATATTCTAATGGATTGCAGAAATCTCATGGCCTCTTTCACCATCTGCCGCCTGCAACATATTGGTCGCAATGGGAATTCCGTAGCACACGAACTAGCAAGAAGGGCGCTCCAAGCAGGGGATGATCTAATCTGGTTTGGGGAAACACCAGAGTTTATTGCACATCTTGTAACAGGGGAGCAGGCACTTGATCAATTTTATACTAATCCTGTTACTCATAATTATGAATAAAAGTACGCATAATTATTATAAAAAAATTATAAAAAATTATTAATTTAAATATTAAAGTGCCTACCTTAATAAAGCTCTCTCCGGTCTTCATAGGTGTTGAACGGATTGTGAATTATATGATAAGAGTTCGTAAAGCTGCTCAAACAATTAGCATAGTAAATGGAATTTGCCAATTTGGTTGGAAGTCAGAAAAGTCAAATGCCACAATACACATGTAAATAATAATAACAATAAGAAGAAGAAGAAGATACACATGTAAATAATAATAATAATAATAATAATAATAATAAGAAGAAGAAGAAGAAAGCGTGAGCAAATGGCAAATTTACTGTAGTGTAAATTGTAGAAATAATGGTATTATAAATACCTAAGAATCACGGGATGAAGAAGACGGAAAAGAAAAGGCTTTTTCTAATTGAAATTAGGGCCATATTAATTTAGAGTAGAATTATAG